GTTAATGTTCTTCAGTGAATTTATTATAGGAATAACATTCCAGCTCTTTCATTTAGTTTTAAATTTTGATCACAAAATGTTTCTTAATCCTAATGTTTTCTTATCCCAGAGAAGAAAATTGTTAAGTATACTATACTTGCAGTTTCAAAACAATAATAGATGACTTCTGTTTCCGTTCAAGGTGAGCACAGTTCACTTAACAGAACATTGGAGAGGAGAGGGCAGCACAGAGGAGCGAGCCCTGGAAATACGCAGCGGGATCAGCGATACATCGGTATTCAGAGGTCACTAAGTATCAGAATTCAGCAAAGAAGTGATCAGAACATGTATGTGAGGAAATTACCCAAAGCTGGAGAGAGAATCATCTGAAAAAGTTAGACGGAACAGTACCCGGCACTCACTCAACACAGGAGACAGTATCTGTTCTCACCAGCAAAAATGGGAAAACTCTTAATTCACAGGGAATTGGGTAGAGCACTCAAAAAGATTTTGCCCCCATAAGGAGAAATAATTAGCAACAGACTGAGCAGGCTGCAGTTAAGCCTAATGAATCATAAGAGTCAGACCCTAAAGGATCAAACAGTTTCCAAGCAACTTAACTACATTCCAGAACAAAGCTCATTGCTTTATTGAAACATAAGATTTATAAAAACATAAAAATACCCAGCACCTAACAATGTAAAAGAAACCCAATCAAAGATCACTAGAAACAAAGAAACAGGAAAACATCATCCATAATGAGGAACATAATTACTGAATTGAAATTTACCTAGAATTGATAACAGATATTAGCATTAGTAGGAAAGGATATTAAAATAGCTATTATAATTGTATTTCATGTATTCAAAAAGTTAAGTAGAGACATAGAAGATATTTAAAAAAAGACTCAAATCAAAATTCTGGCAGGGAAAACTACAATATGTGAGATGAAGAATACATTGAATGGATTAGTGGCAGATTAGACACTGCTGCTGCTAAGACTAATAAACATAAAGGCATGGCAATAGACACTATCCAAAATAAAACACACAGATAAAAAAGAATCAAAAAGAATTCCCTTAAAGCATCAGTGAGCTGTCAGATAACTTTAAGTAACCTAATACATGTGTAACTGGAGTCCTTGAAAAAGAAGAGAAGGGAGGGAACAGAAAAATATATGAAGAAATAATGGCCAAAAAATTTCCACATTCAATGCAAATAATAAATCCAGAGGCCCAAGAAGCTCAATAAATTCAAAACATAAGACATGAAGAAAATGCCACCAAAGCCTATCATAATTAAAGTGCCCAAAACCAGTGATTAAAGGAATATCATAAAAGCAGTGAGAGAAATAAGACACATTACATACAAAGGAACAAAGATAAGAATTAAGCAGGTTTCTCATCAGAAACAATGTAAGTGAGAAGACAGCTAAACAACATCTTTAAAGTGCTGAAAGACAAAAGTCAATGTATATACAGCAAAATTTCTTTTAAAAAAATGGTGAAATAAAAACTTTTCAGATACACAAAAACTCAAAGTTTTGTCACAGCAGAATCACACTCCGAGAAATCTTAAAGGAAACCTTTCCAGCAAAAGGAAAACCATACAAGATGGAAATATGGATTTACATAAAAGCATTAAACACACTAGAAATGGAAACAACACCAGTACATACATAAGGTTTTTTCCTTTAATATCTAAATCACTTTACAAAATAAATGCCTGTTTAAATATTATGAAGTATATGTATAAAATTAAATATATGAGGACAACAGCATATAGGCTGGTAGAGGAGAAACAGAAGTGTATTGTAAGTTTCTTAAACATATGTGAAATAGAATAATATCACTTACAAATAAACTGTGATAAGATGTAAACTAAAAACGCTAAAAGAACACTAAAATAACAGAGGTGTAGCTAGCTAGGCAAGGAGATAAAATGGAATACTCATTTCAAATTGATAAAAATACTCCAATCAAAAGAAAACAGAAACATCATTAGTCATTAGGCAAATGAAGGTTAAAATAATGAGATACCATTACAGACTTAATTAGAATGGTCAAAATTTAATAGACTGACTATATCAACTGTTTGCAAGGACAACAGAGGAACTGGTGGGAATATAAAATAATATAATAATTCTGGAAAACAATTTGGCAGTTTCCTAAAAAACAATTACTATATTTTCCAGCCATTCCATTCCTAAGTATTTACCCACAATAAATGAAATCCTTTGCCCACACAAATATTTGTACCCAAATGTTCATAGCAGCGTTATTAGTAATAGCCAAACAGTGGTATAGCCATACAACAGAATAGTATTCAATGATAAAAAAGGAATAAAACACTGACAGACATTACAACATAAATGAATTTCAAAATATTTATGCAGAGTGGAAGAAGCTCAGAACCTCCCAAAAGCTGTCTACCAACTCTGAGGTACCATATCCTGCAAGGCTCTCCATGATCTGACCCTCTGATCTCTTTGACTTCATCTCCTGTACTCTTCTTGCTCACACTAGCCACACTGACCTACTTACTATTCCCTGACTATGCCACATCCTCTCACCCTCTCAAGACTTCCCTCTGCCTGGAAAACTCTATTCCCCATGGTTTTTGCCTTCACTTCCTTTAGCTCTCTGCTTAAATGTCATCAGAAGCCTTCCACAGCCACCATTTACATAAAAGAACACTCCATAGATGCAAAAATCTTCAATAAAACACTGACAAGCCGATTGCAACAGCACATCAAAAAGCTTATCCACCATGATCAAGTAGGCTTCATCCCGGGGATGCAAGGCTGGTTCAACATACGCAAGTCTATAAACGTAATTCACCACATAAACAGAACCAAAGACAAAAACAACATGATTATCTCAATTGATGCAGAGAAGGCCTTTGACAAAATTCAACAGCCCTTTATGCTAAAAACCCTCAACAAGCTACGTATTGATGGAACGTATCTCAAAATAATAAAAGCTATTTACGACAAACCAACAGCCAATATCATACTGAATGGGCAAAAACTGGAAGCATTCCCCTTGAAATCTGGCACTAGTCAAGGATGCCCTCTCTCACCACTCCTATTCAATATAGTACTAGAAGTTCTAGCCAGAGCAATCAGGCAAGAAAAAGAAATAAAGGGTATTCAAATAGGAAAGGAGGAAGTCAAATTGTCTCTATTTGCAGACGACATGATTGTATATCTAGAAGACCCCATCGTCTCAACCCCAAATCTCCTGAAACTGATAAGCAACTTCAGCAAAGTCTCAGGATACAAAATCAATGTGCAAAAATCACATGCATTCCTATACACCAATAACAGGCTTAAAGAGAGCCAAATCAAGAACAAACTTCCATTCACAATTGCCACAGAGAATAAAATACCTAGGAATACAACTAACAAGGTACGTAAAGGACCTCTTCAAGGAGGACTACAAGCCA